CATTTCCAACCATCTGACTTCTTCAATATCAGGACAAGGACATTCTGGAATTCCCGACTTGTTCACTGTAAGCCAACATCAGGGAACCATCCCAGGTAATCCGTAGACTGGCTCCAAGTTGTCTGTACAAGAATATTGAATCCCAAGTCATGGGTAAATGCCCAACTTCTCGAACTTCCCACATCGTCTTATATGCTGTCCGTTTGGTCTAAAAGCCTCAGCTACTCCCATGTAAGTTCCCCAGCTTCTGCAGGGGACATTAGCCACATCCTGTAATTCCCTCAGTGTGTGGACTGTCCTCCCAAGATTGGGGTTTGTAATTCCCAGCCCAGGCGGCGCTGAGACTGGACGTTGTGGAAGCAATGAGGGGTGGGGACACACCTTGAGAATAATGCCATTTTGCAAAGCACTTGCATCTGGTGAAGTGGTTCTATGGTGTTCAGGCAAGGAATGTTCTGGAAAAGTGTTTTACTGTTGTTATTTTGCTTTATTTTAGCCTATAAATGTCTTTGTTATCAAAGATCTTCATTACAAATAGAAATACAATAGTCATACGTACTCATGCATATAACCCTTGCCTGATTTGCTTCTAATGTATTTTGAGAAAATGAACAATTTGCTTCCCATTTTTGTCTGTCCTCTGAGGCTTTCTTTTTGTTGTTAAGGTTTTACTAAGAGAAATAGCTTCCGTGATTAAAAATGAAACAAAGATTTCTATATGCAGAACTTGTCAGCAGGGTCAAAGTATATTAAGAGGGTTGAGAGTGTCTGCAGTTGGGAGGAGAAATTGTGCAGGATCCCTCTACCTCCTTTCCCTAAGTGCCTCCTGCCCCCGTTCACCTTCCCGCTGTCTCTAGGCAGTTACCTGAGTCAGTATGGCAGAGGGGGCAGAGTGGACAGGAGCACGACCCGCCTCTGAGAGCCCCGTGACAGGGCAATGACAAAGGGGCCTCTTCCTCTTCCAACGGAGACTCACTCGTGACACTTAAGGGCAATGATAAGTACAAATGTAGTTATTATACTTCTCACAGACATAAAGTAGTACTTGCACTAATGCACCAGGTAATCATAGAGCAACTGCAATCATTGAAAACGGGGAAGCTAGAGGTGAGCATGCAGGATATAGAGTAATGTTTCAATGAGAAGAGCAAACACAGGCTCTTTGAGTAAAATGTTGCAGAGCTGGCAGGTGACCCTGAAGGTTAACATAGGATTTTGAGAGCCATGGTTATTAAAACTCTGTAACATATGTTTTAGCACATAGCAAGAAAAAAAATCAATTCTAACACAAACCTTAAAAATAATTAATAACCTTCAACGCAAAGACACAAACACCACCATAGAATTTATTTTTACTTTATTAACAATGTGGCTTACATTTTTTCAAGTAAAAAGGGCTTTTTTTCATTGAGAATAAAAATTAAAATATAACTCTGATATAGATTTTCATTTATTTACATGAAAACATATATACAGAATACAATCTTACAACAAACCAACAACATGCTCTTTTGTCCTGCAAATCTCAAAAGCAAAAACCCCCAATTTTCCCTTTTATGCACTGAAACATACACAAGATAGATGACTCAAATTTCAACACAAACTCTTCAAACTGGAATGCAAAACAGGAAAAGGGCTTTCAACATTCACGACTAGGGACAGTTTACGCTTCCAGATATCATGCTAGCTTCCATTTTGAACGACAAATGAGATCATTATTTTTTCTGCCACTTAAAAAATGTTGCCTCCAATTTCCCAACATAAGGTGATTTTCAGCCTGCCCCCAAACTTTCCTTTTTCCTCAGTGCTGCTCTTTGGCGCATAGGAAGCACCACTTGCTTGGTTATGTGACAAGACTACGTATTTACCGGTACCAAATCCTGGCCATTTAAAACAAAAGCAGTAAGATGGAGAGTCTGCAGCTCAGGACACTGTTACTATTTATCATCTAAACTAGAGGTGCTTTTAACCAAACCCCAGGTGTCAGCAATTACAATTTTTACATAAACGAAGTGGGAGAAAATAACCCAATTCGATTTTATCACATCATGTTTTGGATACCTGTAAACCAACTTTAGTGATAAAAGCTACAAAAATCAATGAACTTAAAGATTCAACCAAGTTAAAGGGATTCTAGAAATCCCTTAAAAAGAAAAGGACAGTGAATAAATAAGAGAATCATTAAATTGTAACAGTTGCTAGTTAGTTATTGCACCAAAGAGACAGGGGCAGGATGCATCTCTCCCCAATGAGTTCATCCTTAAAAACAACAGATACCTTCAGTTACTATTTTTCCCTTCAAATCATTGCACACGTGATCACAGCTTTCTAAAGACAGAACAGAGGACTTGGAACCTAGGTTTACCAACTTAACCAAAAAAAGCAACAACGATGTTCAAACCACAACAAAGATTTTAACACTCCTGTTTTTATAGTTCTATATACAGAAATAAATATAAATGGGTGTTCTACAAAAGAAGTATGAAAACACCTAGTACTCCCCAAACCAAGGGAGAACAGCTCTGAGAAAGGGGTGTCTGGTATGAGATAAAAGGAAAAGCTCAGCACTTGCCTGATACAACACTCAAAATCCTAGGAGACAAATTAGGAAACGGAGACCAGTCTTCAAAGGCTGATCAACATCAACCTGCTGGAGATTGTAGTCAGGGTCAGAGGGGGCAGTGTTCAACGTCTGAGTCGCTTTAATTTATCGAGAAACAAATCAAAGCAAACACAGGAAATCATCTTTCAAATATGATCAAATAAGGTAAAGCAACCTAACCAATAGCTGTCCTGCTCAACCACCGTGAGTCAAACTTTGATCAAATGAACCTAATTTTAAAAGGAATGGATGAGTTCTTCAAGCTACACAACTCCATGGTGAAGGAAACTGGTCTTTGCCTGTTTTTTTTGTTGTTGTTTTTGTTTGTTTGTTTTTTGAAAAGCACAGTAAGTTCTGTTATGCCAGTCATACCCTGCTCTCGTTAGGTTTTTATGCCTATATTTTTGTGGAGAGTATTTTCCCAACACAGTACAAATGAAGCCAAGAAGTTAGAGGCTGAAACAAGCTCCCTTTGATTTCGAGTGGGATCGAGTGATGATGGACCTTTACCATTAAAGATGAGGTGGCATTTCTGCTTCTCAAGGTATACACCTGCCCAGATTGGCAGTGTCTGCTGGCCCAGGGGACGGGAAACACGCGCCCCAGCCATTCCAAGAGGTAATGAGCGGCATGGTATGTGCGGGGTCCGGAGACACAGAGGACAGGACTTTGGTCCCTCAGAGAGACAGAGGCGAGATCACAGTATCTGGAATGGACAAGGGAGGGGCATCGCTTGTAGGAGCGTTTTGACTTAGGGGCTGTGGTGGTATTTGGGGGAGGAAGCGGTAACAGGTGTAACATCAGTATTTCCTGCCCTAAGAGACACAGTTAACAGCACAGTAAAATGCTCCTGGCAGTTGGCCCTATTTCTAAGACAGAAGCTGGTGAGAGGTGGCTCGTATAGAGAAACGAACACCACCTTACGGTTCTGTAGCCCCGTTGCTACTGGCATGAAGTTATACCCACCACCACGGAAATTCCCAGAGAACCCAAGTTCAGGAGGACATAACAACACTTGGAGCAAAAGCATCTTCTTGATCCTAAAACATTATCTTGGCTCCCAGAAGGGCCAGGAGATGGCATGAGATCACTTCAGGATGATCACTCAGGGCTGGCCTTCTGCCTGTGGTGGCAGGCGTGTCCTCCTCACACACAGAGCAGAGCACAGAGGGAGACAGGAAGAGGAGAGTCTTGGGCGCCTGGCCCTGCGGGGAGCAGGAAGCGCCCCCAGCAGTGGTGGCCAGCTCTTGTCCAGGCTGCCCGGCGGGAGCCTTCCAGCTCCTCTGGGTGGGCGGCTCCAGATACTCCCCCAGGAAATCTGCTTCAGTGCTGCGCCTCCTCCTGTGTGTCATCTCTGAGAGGGCATGAGAAGGTGACGTCCGTGCTGCAAGCACCTTGCTCGGTTTCAGCTGCCACATTCCTTCCTTCCAGTTTCAAATGCAACAGAAAGTGCTGAGCTTGGAAAGGCCACAGTGAGAGATCATAAATGAGTCAGCACAGGGAGAATGCCAAGATCTTGAAATGGATACCCTTCCCAATTGTTGGACAGAGTTTAACTCCATAAGACCGAGCATTTAAGGCCAAAAGCACTCGGCTGAGAAGGCAGGGGCGGGACACGGAGAGGGGGTCGGAACTTTCGCTTAGAAGAGAGAATGGACTGCAAGCCAAGCAAGAATCACCGCGGACACTTCCATCCTCACAACGGTGCTTAAGACAGGGGTCCTTCCGTCAGTGGTCCCCAGGCAAATGCATCTGCCACATGTTTGAACTGGACTGTAGAAATCAGCTACAGGGAGATGAAAAATGTCTCAACTGCAAAATATTTGTTTTCCATTTTCATCTGGAACAGTGGCAGAATGTTAGTACAGTTTAGCATTAGTAATCAAACGTTCCCAAATCTGACAATCCCGCCTTAAAATGTAGCAGAAGTATGAGCAGCTAATAAGCCCCCCAACTCCCAGGCCCCTGCCATGGTATTCGTGGAATTGTTGAGACTCTGATCAAAGCAAAAAGATCAAGGTGATTACAGTGAAAAAGTAACTGAAGGTGTGCAGCCTCTGCCTTTGGTGTTCACTCCTGCACAACGTGAAGTTTAAAAAGGTATTTGGGCAACTACCGTAACAGAATAGAATAGTCCATCTGAGTTTGAATATATACATATTGGATCACTCAGGGGCATACACACATGAAGTGTTTGGTACAAACAACCAGCCATTCTCAGAGTCGAAGATCTTTCTTTACCAATTTAATAAACATTGCCCAAGAAATGTCCTAAGAATCTAAAGCCAGAGTGAGCTGCAGGATTGACAGAGTTAAAAGCTATGGGGAACCCCTTTTCCCCATTTACTCTAGTTCTCATTTTGGCCAACCTGGACTCTTCTCTTAGCAGGGGCAGAATGGAGACAGGAGAACGTGTGCTCACTGCTCCAGTCCTAAGTGTCCCAACCTGTCACTTGGCAGGAATGAGGTGCAGAGTGATCACCACCCAAGAGCACAGTTAGTAATTAGCCACGCCAGGTAAAGACCAGGCCTGACTCAGGTCCAGTGCTCGCTCCGCCGCAGGCGTTGGCCTATTGTAAACGAGTGGCCAGGGCCGAGCCCTGAGAATGGCCTTCAAAGAGAATCTGCTCAGGGCATGTAGCTGGTGTATAAAAAGCTCCTCTCAAATCTCTTCCCACTCCTGCTCTCCGAAATTAATCTTTTCCTTCAATAAACAACTCACCATTTCCCAAGAGACTAAAGGAGTCCCTCCCAGATATAGTCACACTTCCATTAGAACATGAGAGAGATCTGAGATCCCATAAAAGAACCTGCAAGTAGAGGTGTCCATTACTCATGGAAAATGGTCTCATTGCCATGACACATCGCCTTCCTTCACCCCCCGAACTTCCTAAAAGGCACCTCTGACGGGCGACGCAGGTTTAGCCCATCTCTTTATAGCTATGTCCTGAAACATTGCCTACAGCTGTGTTCGAGAAATTAGTTGCCACCAAGATCCAACTGTGGTGACAGTCACATGTGTATCGGTACAGAAAAGCATCTATGAATGTGCCTGAGAATGAGTAGAGCAAAAAATACCAGCCAGGCAGCCTCCTCGGTCACATTGAAATGACATCAACTGCACCATCAGGTGTTTTCAAAGAAACATGGGCCCTGGTTTAGGACCTTGTTCGAAGGCAGCTGCCTGCTTTGGGGTGGGAGAAAGGCGAGATGTGGCCATACAAAGAAGCTCTTCATATCCCGCAGGGTCTGACACAGAACTTTAATGTACACCTTCCAGCGGCCACTGCCGTGGTCCTGGTGTGTGCTGTGAACACATGGAACTATGAAACAGGCTGGGGGGTGAAGGAGGTCCTTCGTGCTTCACGATTCCCGGTGACTGCATGAACCATCTCACGTATCCAGGGAAAAATAAAAGTTCCAGTCCTGGACCCCATCCCGAGACACCGTATCACCAAGACAACGGGCCACCTCCCCAGAGGGTGGAGTCAGTTGGCATACTGGGCGTAGAAAGCCACTTTAACTCTCTCGATCTGATGGCACAACTTGATGGCGGGCCCCAGCTTCAGCTCCATGCACTCCTGCACGGTAGGGAGAGTCAGCAGCAGCAGCGCCTGACCGTCAATGTCCTGTTGGAAAATAAAGCCGGTTAGAGCCCAGACAGTGAGCACCGAGGGGACGCCTTGGTCCCAGCAGCCTTCACCCCAGGGTCCAGGGTGGGAGGGGCTGCTCTCCTTTTCTCTCTTTCTGGAGAGCGAGGGCAGAGAGAGCAACTTGGCTGGATGGCTGTCTCATCTCTTGGTTAACACATCCTTTTGCTAAAAGATAATCTGGCTATTCTGAAAGTCACATCTAGGCGGGTGGGGATGAAGCGCTGTAACAGGTGAGCTGCTGCAGGAATTCTTCCTCCCAAGCTCACTGCCCCTTGTCGGGGGAGCACGCCGCACCCCCAGGCCCCATCTGTCCTATGCTCTGCTGTGATGTAATCTGAGCACTAGAAAATGGTTCTGTACTAAAGGAAAAAGCTCTTCACTAAAAGAAAAGGTCTTCCATTTCACCATCAGAATGGTGAGAAGATGCTAGAAAAATATACCAGCTACACAGCACAATTTTCCATTCAGGAAAACACAGGTGTTCAGACACACACACACACACACGCACACACCTACATCCACATACCTACATCACCCAGAAGGAAGGGCTACCTGTATTTTTATCTTAATTAGTCCTTCTCCGCCTACACACAGGGGCCCCACAGTGATGATATTCATTAAATGTCGGTAATACTGTACCGGCTGCAGAAGGAAGGCTCACTGCAAAGCTTTAGGATCACTCCACGGGATATTCCGGCCCCTTACCCCCGATTGGTTCTATAGTAATTGGGTTCATTTATGTAGATGTTGTTTGACTGAGTAACTGAGTGTAACTACCATCCCTCGTTCCATTCACCGGGACACTCTTAATACTCCAGAGGGAATACTGAGGCTCCAGGAGATGGTGGGCCCAAGGTCACGACAAAGGTCAGGGATGGAATGAGAGCATAAACCGACACTTAGCACACCAGACTTTCTGCCACAAGGGGAGCCATAATGTGCCCAGGGCTGCCATAGCCACGGAGACTTAACTGTCATGCAACTGCAAGCGTGAACTCAGACATCACCTGTCAGTGAATGTCACATAGGTGCTCATTTCTTAAACTAGTGGTTTATTTAGCGGTCTTGAAAATATCTACAACAAAAAACCAAACTGAGTATGAATGTTAGCCTTAGGAAGACTAATGTTATAAAACTATATGCAGGAGGCTTAACCATTAGCTTCAATGAAATTGACAGAACAGGATAGAATAGACCTGAACTTATTTTAGAAAATGGAAGCTTTTCTTAAAGATGGAAATTGATGCCAAAAAGCTACCTAGTTAGAGACAGCATTGGAACTAGAATCATGCTTTTGTGGTGTTAAACTTTGGGAGGAAAAGTTATAGCTCAGCTGTTAACATCCACACTTAGTCATGATGGCCATCCTTTGGCACAGAAAAACAATTACAATTGAAAATCAGCCCTAACATGTAACTATAACTCTCTGTAGACAATTTCAGTGATGGTGGCTGCCACAGGCATGTAACACAGGTAAGTAGAGGATGTCATTCACTCAACAAACATTTACTGAGAATCTACTAAGTGTGAGGCACACTCTGATAATCTCTGGGGGTATCACACTGATTGGCCGCCCCCTTCCAGGAGACTCTACGCATCTCAAGGGAGGCAGACAAACAGGCCATTATGATGTACAAAGATTAATGTATGGGCACAGAGCTACAGGTTCAAACTGAATGGACAACGGAACTGATCTTACAGGAGTCAGGAAGGCTACAGAGAGTAGGTGATACCTAAGCTGGAACCTAAGGGAACAATGGGAATTATTAAGGAATCAAGGAATTAGTAAGATAATAATTCCCTCACTGAGAAACAGGGAAATACAAATTAGGCCCACAATACAATTTAATTTTATAGCCACAAAAAACAAGGTCTAACAGTACTAAGTGTTGACACAGAAGTGTACTGGAAAGGGGACCCCCTACACTACTAGCAGAAAGGCACACTGTGTATAAGAAAAAAATCAACTAAGAGCACAGGAAACACAAAATTCAAAATAGCATTTATGGCCAGTGGAAATCAAGGAGACTGTGCCTGAAGTTTCTAAGAGGTCTCCGTTTTGAGGCCACCATTGGGGGTGGGGTAGTGGGGAAAGTCCATTCCCTGTGGCCTGAATTTCAAATGTGGGAAACCTGGATGGTTGGAATCAAGTGCACATCTTTGAACTTCCCTCTTCGGAGCAGTTAAACGCTTCTCGTGGGTCTTGCGGTGCCCACATGGCAGCCCCTGCACATATGTGACTATCAGAACTGGGAGAAACCCAGCTGAACGTCGTCTGCAGAGACGTTCCTATTCGCAGGGAGATGAAGATTATGGGGTGGGGGTGGATTAAGGCTAAACCATCTGATTCATTACAGCGATCCTGCACACCAGCTTTTTATCTGGGCCAAACTGACAACAACTGGGCCGATACCTCAAGTGGGAGGAGTGGTTAAAGCGCAGGCTGCCTGCACTGAGCCCCCTCAGGGCCTCTTCTGTCCTCTGGGTTCTCACCTCATTCGCCATCTTCCATGATGATGTAAAACAGAACTCTAGGATGTTCTTATTTTGAGAAGAATGTGCTACCAAGAATAAAATCAGACCTCTGATTTCCAAACACCAAAGTGTCGTGCTGCCTGTTGAAAGCACTAGATTTAGGGACCTGACCATCGGGTTGTCACTGGTACGGGAGAGCAATGGTGGCGGCCACTGTGATCCAATGTGGTTGGCCAACATGTCTATCTCATGCTGCAGGCTGCGCATCACCCACATCCACTGCAGGGTCCCCACAGAGGAGAGGGCGGGGGAGGGAGGGTAATAGAGTATGAGAATGAGTAGAGCAAAAAATTGAAAAGACATCAATTTTTTGTCTTTTGGAGGCAAAGCTGGCAAAACACACAAGACCCTGCAAGGAGTCAAGGAATGCGGGAGGAACCCCACCTGGCAGTTCCTCTCACATGCAGCTGTTGTTCTGGTTTGAAAAAAGGTTTTTTCTTTCCACTGATTTTGTAGTAACAGACCTCACAGTTAATTTAATTTTTACAAATGCGCTTTCATATAATTCAGAACTGCTGGCAAATCACTTGTCATGTTCAACACAGAATTAGCACAAATGGACTACTAATTTTTAGAAAATGAAATGTAATAGAATTCACAACGTGAAAGTTATGCTTAGCATATGACAAAATTAACTTTATTTTTGTTTGATACAGAGGTCAGTATAGGACATGGCAGTTTCTTAATGGGAACATTCAAGTCTATTGAAGTAGAAAGAGGAGGGAATAGTCTAAAAGTGAACCTGTAAATTATCCTGAAAATTTTTTATTAAAATAAATCACTAATTTGGTTCTTTGATTATTTTATGTCTCTCATTCATAAAAGGTGAATGAGTAGGCAAAACTATTTTGAGAGTTTAGTGTTTGTTTAGTTATATATGTATAGGGTTTTACTGGTTAATATACATTGTACAGCATGAAATTACAGAGTATAGATTTTTTAAGCAGTTGCCATAATGTTTCAAAATTATAAGGCATATATTCCAGTAATGGGAAGTTTATAATTTCTATAAATACTCCTGGTGATTACGATAGTCTCTGAATTTACAACATCCAGAGGAGCGAGCTCGCATAGCGATTACCATTCCATGCCCTGCGATTTTTTTCACATGCTGGTGAATAAAGACCCTGGGCTCCTTCCAATTCATCTAAAAATTCACATGGCACCTGGAGTGTCCCACTGGAGACCTCACCAATCACAGCCGTGACCTTTGGGCTCAAAGATGATAGAACAAATTAGTAAAAATTAGTCATCAAAAATCTGATTGAACAAGAAAGGACTCAAGTGCCCCTGTGCTTCAGATAGCACAGGGGGGTAACAGCCTTCTATCGCGACAGGCAAAATAGCCTATAGTGAAATTTAACATTAACAGCAATGAGGCTATTATCAATTAAAATCCACCTATTTTTCTCTCTACACGAGAAATAAGTAGGTATGCAGGATCAAGCTTTCAACTGGTGTGAGAAGAGCAACTGAAGGGAGGGTCCTGCCCATTGCTTGGCTCTAGAAGTGGCAACCTGCTGGGAATACTTCACGTCTTAGAAGCCTTAGCCTGGGAAGGCGTGGAACTTTCTGAGATGCTGTTATAAACAGGCCTTAGAAGCACTAAAGTAAAAAAGACTCAGCATACGTAGCACTTGAGCCTTTTTCCCAAATCAGCTTTGTTTTCACTTGCTTATTCCTAGAAACTTGTAAAAGGAATCAACGCATGAGCCTGTTAACCTTTCACAGTGCAAATGGTCTCGAGCTCCACGGATAACCTGGCATCCGGCGGGGAGGCTCCGCCCTCTGTCCCGTGTTAGGACCAATTGAAAAACATTTATCAGTTAAAGTCTGGAGAGACATATTTTCATTTATGAGTTACAGTCATCTCATCTGCTAAATTTGGGGCTAAAATAAAACAAAAAGAAGACTTTAGACTAACAGAGAATGCTACCTTACCCATCTGCCTTTTGACTATTGAGGCTCCATCAGTGTATGTGGAGGGTACACATATGAATGAGTAGATATGTATTACAGCATCATGTTTTATACCTGCACTTGTCATGCATTCAAATGCAACGCTTTTAGCAAGATTTCAAAGTTCTGCTGTATTTTCACTCTCAAGACAGAGACATAGCTGATCAGCATGTCCCAAGTCACATAAGTCCTCACATTTCTTGTAATTCTCTCTTTTCCGTTTGTTTTAATGAAGAGACATGTTCATTACCCAGGTTCCTTGTGTCTAAGGAAGCTTTTTCCTCCCTGTCTGCTTTTAAGTGTCACCCAGAGAGGAAATGCAGTCAGATAGCCAGGAGGCAACCTTGCCCTCTCACCACCGATCATTCATTCATTCATTCATTCAGGGTGCACTTATGGTTGTCTATACAAGATTCTCGTGGTCAATCAGAGGCCTTTGAACATTAAAGCACTGCTCTCCCCTGGGAGGAGCTGGGAACCACAGTTATTTGCTTTACACAATTCATTACCGCATTATGGTGAACTTGGGGGGAAAGCTGAGAAATTCACTGGGAGCATGGGAAATCAGAGGCCTTTCTTTTTTCTTCCTTATTTATTGCTTGAATTGCCCCTTTTCTAGACTATTGGTTTGTGTGATCTAAAAAAAGACTGGATAGACATATTTTTAATTTATTTTATGGGAAACTTTAAGAAAAATAGACAGGGTCTTGAGAGACAGATATTTACATTGTGACACAATGCAAGACATTTTAGCAAATTAAACAAACCCAGCAGAGTACGCACCACAGGCTTAAACGTGAACTTTTTATATGAGGCCAGTGAGAAGTCTGCAAGGTGGCATGGGTTTAGAGAGTACCAATTTGTTTGCATATTAATTTGAGGGAAAATATAAATAAAAACCATCCTTTCCTATGGCTCATCATGGCATATCTTACATTTTAACGCGTTACAGTCACCTCATCTGCTAAATTTAAAATTCCTGTAAGGTATAGATTGCATCAATTGCTTGTGTATTTATCCATCATTAGCACAATACCCACCTAACATACTGGTACCATGGGCTTTAAAATACTTTCCCAAGCCAAAGGGAAGCAAGAAAGAAAACAGTGTTGAAAGCAGCATGAAGAAAAACAAAATGTATAGGAAATGACTTCTGGGAAAATTGACTTGGCATATTTTCCCTATTTCTCCCACTAAACATAACGAAAAGCCCTGGATGTTATAAATAAACAAACTTAAGGGGAATTTGAAGGTGGAGAGAGGCAGACCAGCTGGGACTGTGGGACCCAAGATAGGACATGGTGGTGAGTGCTCTGGGCTTTATTTGTTTGGCTCCTATACCCAAGGCTTATTGCTCAAAAAGCTGGGAACCCAGAAATGCCAATGGGCAAAATGACCAGAGGCCCAACAGAGACCTGCTCCCTCTAGCCAGAGGACTGGGGAAGGGGTAGTCTAGGGAGACAAAGCCTTTCAGGCAACAACTGCTCCCCTGCAGGACAAAGCAGCCCAGCCACCATCACCAGCAGAGGTGGCACCAGGTCCCCAGAAGTGGGGTACCTAAGGAGGTCAAGTGGAGAGCTGAGACTCCCATCTCCACTTGGCCACAAAGAGTCCTCCAAGGAGGTATTGGTGAAGACCATATGTGGATCTCAGACTTCTGCCTGCCCCCCACACAGAAGTAATGAAGAAGTGCCCCCTCTCCTACCAAAGCTGTGTCTCAGGAAGCCAGTTAAAACAGAGAGTTTAAATGAGACCCAGAGTCTCATGATAAAAACAGCAAATACACCACAGAACCACCGTACCTGTTCCTGAAAAATTTTGGCCAAGGGGGCGCAGTCTGTCAGTTTAATGAACCTCACCACGTCAGTCACTGTCCACTCTAACGGGTTGCTCTCCAGAATGAGCCTCTCCTCCTCCTCTTGCTTTGTTTCCTGCAGAGACGAGGGAAGCAGGAGGTCATCTTATCACAGCATGGTGGTTGGGGTCCCTTCTAACCCTTCCTGGACCCTGAGGGGACTCCCCCTAAAGTCTCTTGTAACTTTCAGGACAAGCCACAAAGACTTTCTAGGGACCTTCTTAGCAACTTAGCTGGGTTGTGACTGCCTCCAATGATGTGTGTGCCTCTAGAGGGAAAATATCTTTTAAAGGCAGTGATAGTAGCTGTTGAATCCCAAATTCAGGAAAACTTTGGGCAGCTGATTGAATAGGAGAAATGAATGATAAGGGGCATCTGCAAATGTACACAAGACAGTGAGCTATTCCCCCATTTGCTTGGGGGACAATGGTGTCAGTGACCTGTTGGCTGATCATCTGGCACCCGTGGGCTTAGGGGAGACCCGCCCGGCTGACTTACTATTTTATGGCAACACAGAGTACTCTATAAAGCAGTGACGGCGAACCTTTTGAGCTCTGCGTGTCATTTTGAAAAACCCTAACTTAACTCTGGTGCCGTGTCACATATAGAAATTTTTTGATATTTGCAACCATAGTAAAACAAATATTTATATTTTTGATATTTATTTTATATATTTAAATGCCATTAAACAAAGAAAAATCTACCAAAAAAGTGAGTTCGCGTGTCACCTCTGACATGCGTGTCATAGGTTCGCCATCACTGCTATAAAGGGAAAGTCTAGTGTTCAATGGGACCTTGAGGACTTCCGTCTGTGCTCCTGAAAGAATTCTTGGTGGTTTTAAAGCCTTCCTTCAGAACTCCAATCTGATGTTCACTGACCCACTTGGTCAAGATATGAAATCACCAAGCCTTTTGCCCTTGACTTAGAATTAGGCTGGAGCAGTGCTGGTGTCTTTAGTATTTTAAACAGGTGTCCCAAAGTCTAGGCCAGGAACTATAATGCATTTTCTTCTTCAACACTCTGCCCAGGCAAGCCAGTTCCAGGGCCCATGTGCTTTACCTGTGCCGTGTCCTTGTCCTGGCCGGCTGCCGGGCCCTTGTCGCCGCCCTCGGCACAAGAGGCGGCCTGCACTTTTCGGCCCCGTCTCGTCCTTTCCACGGGCAGCCGGCGCTCTGGCTCGGAGCTGCTCCTCAGGGTGACGGCCCTTCGGGGCCTGGCCGAGGGGACCTCGGCCGAAGAGGTGTCTGTCTGGTCGTCCCGCAGCTCAGAGCCGGTTTCCTCGCTCCCTGTGTCATCGTCCACGGCATCCACATCCTCCTCCTCGCTTTCCTGGGAAGGAGGGAAACACGGGAATGGAGTTACATGAGAGGAGCCTTCGTGAACATGCGAGGCTGGGCTCTAACCCGAGCTCTTTCCCGTCCAGGTGGCTCCGTGCAAAGCACCTGGCGAAGCCTCTGAGGACTGATCTGCAGGTCCCAACAGGGTCCCAGCGGCTGCCCTTCCCCAGCTGGAGCAGCTGACAGCCTAAATCTGTTCTCAGCAAATGAAGAGGAGGGTGCTGGTATCTCCTGTTTCCAGCCATCCGGATCAGACTTCCACTGCGGCCATCGACTTGCCCGCCAGGCCCTGCGTCCCCGTGCAGGGCTGGGAGGTGCTCCGGGTGAACATACCTCCCCCGAGCCTGCCGCAAAGTCCACGGTAGAAGACCTCCGTTTCTTCTGCACAAAAATGGATTTTCGCCGTTTCCGACGCCTGGCTGGCTTAGGGTGTCCACTTTCAATGCTGCTTTCCCCAATTGGGGGCTTAATGATCTTCTTTCTCTTTCCATAATAATAGGCTACAAGGAGAGAGAAAAGACAGAGAATTTAAAGTTTTTTTTAAAGGTTACACACATGTTCATACATGGACATAGAGTACAGGGGCAAGAAGTGGGGCGGGGAGAGGATTCCTACGATTCGTCCATGAGTGACCGTGTATGCAGAATGAAATGGGGAGATATGTATCACATAGGAAATTCACACTCTGAATAGTGTTTCAAGCATGTTCAGGTTCCTGACACACGAGTTGACAAATCCCATCTGGGCGGGGGCCCGCAGAGCACCGACCGTGCTTGTGGGTCCTGGTGACACCCTAGCAATGGGCTGGAACCTGGGCCGGCAGAACAAACTCCCAGGTCACTGTGACGAGGGTGAGACACCCCTTGGATTAGACATAACTGAGGGAGACACAGAAGGAGCAGAAGCCAGGATCAGAGCGTTCTCAGAGCTGGCACTGTCCGCGGTGTAGAGTGAGACCAGAGCAGAGGCAGGACAGGGCCCAGGGAGCAACTCCAGAAGGCAGAGGTCACCAACTGACCGGGAGATGGAAGAGGCAAGTGCCGAGGGAGGGGACATCTGAAGAGGACATCCGGCATGGGCCAGGGTAGCAACTCTCCCAGGCCGGGTGGAGAAGCAGAGTCAGGAGCAGAGAAAGCGAAGAGTGCTCTGCACCCTCCAACTATTCCACTCAAGAGTCTGAAGAAAGTAGCATCAACAGGGGAAAAACATATTGTGACAAGTACATTGCCTGTGTAAAAAAGGGTGATGAAAGACTCGTTCTAATTGCTCAGTTAAAAACCAAGAAGTAGTTCTGGTGACTAGCCATTACCAATAACGTGTTTTATTGTGCCCTTCTTTCAGCCATACAGTTTTCCGAATCAACCAATGCCCTAACGTGCATGACAGTGTATACACCCTTGACTCTTCATCACCAATGCCAAGCAGTGACATGCATCCTGATTTTAATCACCCACCCCCTCCTTAGACCAAGCTGGAGAACACAGAACCATTGGCCACAGCAGATCATAGAGAATTCTTCCATAGCAGTTCCTATGAAAAATAATTCAAAAAGTTATTTACTAGTAAGCCCAACTGGTGTGACTCAATGGTTGAGTGCTGACCTATGAACAAGGAGATCATGGTTCAATTCCAAGTCAGGGCACATCCCCAGTGTGGGGTGTGCAGGAGGCAGCCGATCAATGATTCTCTCTCATCGTTGATGTTTCTATCTCTCTCTCCTTCCCCCTTCCTCTCTGAAATTAGTAAAAATATATGTTTTTTAAAAAGGTTATTTAAAAAAACACAAACATCAACTACTTGACCTCATATTTCAGGCCCAGGGACCAATGTTCTGTTCATTATTTGTACTCACTGTATTTGGTTTTGGTATGAATGGAGCAGTTTTCTGGGCAGTTTTCAGAAACCAGCACAGGACTGAACAAATTTGGACAGCACTCTAGCTTGGCACAGACCCGTCTGCAGAAGTCCGCTACTTGGTCAGAAGTTCGTACAATCTTGGCTACGGCCCTGTATGTTTTGCCTCTATACCTAGAAGGAAGGAAGAAAAAGTTTTGGCAAGACTGCAGAATTACTCAGACCTAGTTTGCACAGTGTCTCCTAAAGTACCCTTTTATTTTGTGACAATAAAGCAGGTTCTGTGTGATTTCCATGTCATTTGTTTTTATCATTCTTTATGTTCTCACACAAATATTTATAAGCAATGCCAGTGCTGACAGTGCTAAGAGAATCACCGCAGTAAAGATTTCCACTTAGCATATTCTCACTGTGGCTGGCATACGTTATTCACACCAATTCCAGATGCTTCCAGAATCTAGATACTGTAATTTGTCGCTCATCAATTTTGAGAAGAAAACGTTCTCCTGCCCAAGAAAAACCATATGCAGTGAAATCACCAACATAAAACGAGGAACCAGATCTTCTGGAAAGCAGGTTGGGTTCTGCTTTAAAATAAGTCCTTCAGGCCTCCTCCAAACATAGGTGCCCCCCAAAACGTATACACACACTTTGAATGATTATAAAGGCAGCATTTATTAAAATACATTTCATTTTCAAAATTGAGCTGTCAGCTGTTTCGGGGGGACACCCTGTTTTTATGGTAAATAACGACATAAATAATGCCTGCTTGAAAGGATGAGCATTTGGAAATAGGTCTGAATCAGCTTTCAATATATTTTTTAAACTATCATGGGTATAAAATAATTATAAACTTTCCAGTTGGCAGCAGATCATAGGTCCTTACTTTTAGTTCACATTCACTGAACTTAGAGTCCACTGAAATGAGAACGCATCAAATTGAAATCTTGAACAAGAAATTATTTTCCAGAAAACTAGCAGGTGGGGGTGGCTCTGGCAGAGAGCAGGCATGGTTCTTGGAAAGCTAAGCGAATGCACATTCGCTGCCCACTAGTGAGGTGAAGGTGTGAGAGAACTCTTTGCCGCCTGCTCCTTCACACACACAGAGGTTCAGGTCCCCGACAACCCACCACACACCACAGGGACATGAGGCAACTCGTGCAATCGGGAGTGTAACATAAGGAGATCATTACCTTTGCAATTTGTGAATAAAACACTGAAGTTCAAGACATTAGGTCTGGTTCACTGAGAATACGGTGATGGAAATAAATGGATTTTGTTTTGTTTCTGTCCTTCTGAAGTCTAAACACTGTTCCCCTGAAATTCATTTTTTAAAGTATCAAGAACAAAAAAATTAAATTCTAAATTGGAAAAACTGGCCTGTATGTTCATTCACTGGTCTTTCCTGTCCCAGTCCCTCTGTCCTTCTTGTGGTTCTGTCTCTGAAAGCCAAGCTGCACTTTCTGGGTAATAAGAACTTTGTGGACAAGATCATGCTTTAAGACCACAGCCTTGTCCGACTGCTGACTTTTCTAGGACCACTATGGACCCTCGATATAGAAGCAAGCGAGCCCCGCTCTGAGGAGGGGCTTCCTGACCCACTCTGGGTGGTTCTTGCTCCTGCTTCCCTTGTGTTTCATAAACACAGCACAACTCTGAACACAGCATATCCTTAATGGTGGTGGAAATGGAGAATTAAAATACAGTTTTACTCGACATTTTCTCTTGTGATTTTTTTCCACCACAATTTTAGTGTTCCTGGGTCTCTCTCTTTGAAAGAGCTCAATATCAAGATTCTTAAAGTCCTTATAAAATAGTAAAATAACAGAAGGTAAGAAAGTGGAACTGTAAAATCAGGTCAAAATTCAAACTGTGTAAGTAGGGGTCACAGACAGCTATTTCTGTTCCCAGACCGCGGATTCGCAAGCGGACACTTCCAAAAGCTCAGGAGAGGGTGTAGGAGAAAGGGAACAAGCGCCTGAGACACAGACAAAGGGTGGCCTTTTCTTCCTCTTCTGAAAGAGAATGATTCAGTGGAAGAGTGTCTCAGTACAACCCTTCACCGTTAGGAAAAAAACAATCTAAATTTATGAAAAAAAATTATTCATTTTTAACTATATTTTTATTGTTGACACTATTGCAGATGTCCCCATTTTTCCCTCCTTTACCCACTTCCTTCCCCACCTTTCCTCCCACCCTCCTCACTCTGGCCATCAACATACAATTGTCTGCGTCTATGGATTATACATATACTAGTAGCCCTGCGCACAAATCCATGCACAAGTAGCTCGCTGCCACTTGCCTCACCTGGCCACCCACCCACCGCCACTGGTAGCTCTCTGCTGCTTGTAGCTCGCTGCCCCACACTCCTGTAGCTATCCCCCCTCCTAGCTCGCTGCTGTGCCTTTCTGTAGCTCTCCACCACTTGTAGATTGGTTGTGATGTTACAGAGTAACAGATAATTAGCATATTTCTCTCTTATTATATAGGATGTTCTTTGGCTAATCCTTTACCTTATTTCATCTAGTCCACCCCTCCCACATCCCCTCTGACAGTTGTCAGTCTGTTCCATGTATCCATGCTTCGGTTTCTATTTTGCTCATCAGCTTAGTTTGTTCATTAGATTCTACATATAAGTGAGATCATGAGGTATTTGTTTTTCACCTCCTAGCTTCTTCACTTAGTATGGTTTAAAGGTAAGGGACTCCTGTCCTCTTTCCTGCCCTTTGGAACAATTCTGTCTAAAAGCCATGGCAGTGGTGGTAAGGGTGGGGGGACTGGGCAAGGAAAGTGCCAGCTGGGGAAGGCAGGGTGGGACCCGCAGCATCCTGGCCTGGGTGTGGACACTTGAGTGCTGCTGGGACCTCCCTTCCCTGAAGGACGTGCTGAACTGGTTCGAGCAGTGCTGCTGGCTGGGAACCTCCAGATGTCGCCCCTTTCGGTTTGCCCCAGCTGCAAAGTTGCCTTCCCCCGGACAGCCTCCATGCAATGACTAATTGTGGCAGGAGCTAAAAGGCCTGGCCACCTGGGCCAACTCTGGACAACCATGGAGGGCCATTCTAACGCCACAGCTGCCACAGGCTACAGATGGTGCCTCCCTCTGCCCAATCTGGTTTTTCTTCCTCTGCTTCCACAGGTGTCGGTCCCCAGCGTCCTCCTTAATTAAACCCCAGCTGGAAGGATCTGCACCTGAGGCAGGTGAGGAGAGGGTATAGGGCAGCATTCTGAGCAGGCTGCTGTATTCTGTGCAGGCTGCTGTGTTCTGTGCAGGCTGCTGTGTTCTGAGGACATTTTCGTCTGGGGGATAGCTGGTGTGGGTTGGTGTGAAGGCCTGGCATTGAGAGTTGGCCCCTGAGTGGGGTGAGGGAAGAACGAAGTGAAAAGAGACTGGCACTACATCAGAGCCTGATCAAATAAACATAGAGAAGGTGGTGTGAGCCAGGTTGCCCATGTATATTGGGGAGATTGGGGCACCAGACCAACGATTTACTACCAAATCGATCTGGAGAAAGAATAGTCCATTTGTATCTTGTAGTTGCAATATTTCTGTAATTCTGAGGTTTTTCAAAATAAACATTAAAAAATCATAAAAATAAAATTTATCTTATACAATGATTCAAACAACATTAAGCTTAATGTATATTTCCCACCAAATGCATATTTCGAGCACTATTAGTACTGGGATCATTTTCAGTTATGATCACAAATGTGGAAGAAAAACTGTTTGAAACATCCGAATCCAGACTGAAGCAATAATCGGGTTTTGAAGTTGGTCGACAAATCAGGACAATTGTTCAAACAACTGTTTTATTAACAAAGCCTGTGAAACTTAGAGAGGTGCCGGCCTACCAAGACACACAAGCAAACAGCAGCTCTAAGGTTCTGCCCAATGGTTGAAGGAGACAGCTGCGTGTATGCAATACTGTCATTTCTATTTTCTCAAGGACATTCCACCACGTGATCATCATACAACCTTCCAGACAGAACGAATGGACAGGTGTCAGCAGCCCCACCTGACAGACGCAGATGTGGGAGGGCGGCTGGCACCTCGGCAGCACTCAAGGCATCCAGGTGAAGCTGGAAGCTGCAGTCCTTATCACTGCACTGCCTTTATTTTACCACAGGTGAAAATCAGAATCTGTTTTGTAGCTTTCTGTTCCACTAAAGGTTTAAAAGCCATATCCCAATGACATAACCTTGTAGGCAGGAAATGCGAAAACAGCTCAAAAGCCTGGGATAATGCCTTTCCCTTTAGCCTCTCATTGTGAACCTGGAGAGGAAAACCCTGAGCTATGTAATGTATTAAATGGCCCAGCAAGGCTATTGTAAACAAGGGAAGATAAGATTTTCTTCAAGTATTACAAGTTGTTTTTGTTTTATTTGGGGGGGGTGGGGCGGGGGCGGATATTGAAAGAGACAAACAAGCGATTATACAGCAGAAAACTCCCGGGCATTGTAAACAACCTCAGAGAGAAGGAGGGAAGGACAGAAGTAAGAGGCTGCTGGGCTGGAGCACAGAAGGAGATGCTGAGACGACACCCGCCTCAGACGCACACTCTGAAACAGTCCAGGGAGCGGAGAACAACAGACGGACAGACGAGGGATAGCCTCCCTGGCTGCCAATGTGGGGACCCACTCAGAAGCCCAGGGCTGATATAAAGATGATTGTAAGACAAAGGCATGTGAGATTCCACAGATGCAGAGCGCAGCTTTTTCGGAGCTTCCATTATCTGACTAAAAGCAGAAACTTTCGAGCAATGAAGACTGCCATAAATTCCCTCTGGGAGGCAGCTTCTAATCGCAGGAGAGAGACCAAGAGTAAACCTACCATAAATCCCCTCTCAGGAGTTTCATGGCCAAGACAGAAAGAAGGCTCGCACCGCATAAACACACATTATCACAAACTTCCTTATCTCCCATTTGTTCTTCTAAAAAAAAACATTTGTCTTTCCTAAAGAAACCCACCTCTTCTTCCCCTAGAGGCCTCTTCTCCATCCTCCCTTTCCCCCACTAAGTTAGGTCCCATGCAGATATACATTGTTCCAAATCCTAAGTGCCCCCTGGGTTACTCAGCACGGGGCACTCCTGCCTGCATACATGCTGCACCTGTAAGTAAACTGTCTTTTCTCTTGCTAACCTGTCTTCTGTCAGTTTAATTTGCAGACTCCCAAGTACTGAACGTAAGAGGTAGAGAAAAGGTTTCTCCTCCATGACATCAATAAGGAAGCGTGAGTGGCCTTCCAATATCTTTGCACCAACCCAAGTAGGGACTTATTTCCACGTGTGCATGCACATGGCAGGGTGGAGAAAGACAGTGAAGATGGAGGAATGAAAGTGCTGGGAAAAAATGGTCTCTTCTCCTTCAGTAAAGAGCTGAGAAAAACCACAGTGGATTTTGAGCCAAAAGAAATAGAGCAAAAAGACTGACGCTGGCCTGACAATCCCCAGAACCACCAGCATGGCCCACGTGGGATGCCCTCCATTTGGCCTAAGTCATGTCATTCATCTTCAAGTGACTCACCTCAGGACCTTCTCACAAAATTTGGGTAGGCAGTGAGAGGGGTGTGGGAATGGTGAGCAAGGTTCCAGCTATCCAGCGGAATCCACATCCTTGTTTATTAAAGAAAGAACTAAAGGGGGGAAAGGGTAACCCCAATAACTCTGCAGAAATAGGGAAGCTTCACAACCTGTCAACAATGAGATTTGGCTCTGATTTCCTTCCAAACTTCACGGGGCACACCACCCACAACAGGGTCAATACTCTGGCTCCCTCACTGGTTCTCAGACTTCTGATACTCAACTCCTCAGAAACGTCTCTCTTCCTTCTTGAGCCCTGCATCGCAAGTGCTGAGAGCTCTGTGCA